TGTGTATGTATGTATATATATATGTATGTATGCATGTATGTATGCATGTATGTAAGAATGTATATGTATATGTATGTATGTATATATATATATATATATATATATATATATATAACTTCGTTCTAGTTCACCTCGAATGCCATCTACTGTAGACTTTTGCATACATCAGCGTGTCCCCGGATATAGCAATATACATATATATACAGCTTGGCACGTGTGCATACTCCATATTTGATGCGTAATAACGAGCTGTTACCAATCTCTCAGTCCCTACCCAAACTGTCATGCGTCATGTCACACAGACAGTTCAAATATCACTCAGTTACTCCGGAACAGCATTGTCTATGGCAACGTGATCCCGACCTTTCAGGTGTAGCCCTTATTTTGACTCCCCACATTAAACCGTCTTTCTATTGAGCTATGAACCGTCTTTCTATTGAGCTATGAACCGTCTTTCTATTGAGCTAGAAACCGTCTTTCTATTGAGCTAGAAACCCTAAACCCTAAATTCTATATATAAAAATACAAACCCCTAAACCTTAGTCGACCTTGTTTCAGCCCGCCTAGGGAAGCACATACGATATCACTATCCTGCACTACGCTCAAAACATGACTGTTCAAAATCAATTATCTCGCATATAGCTCTCACCGGCCGTCTTCGTGCCCGCAGTGAAGTGCATGTATTGACATTTCAATCCCACTACTTCCTTCCTTTTTCTTTCTTTCTTTATTTTTGGATACATGCTGACTCTTTCCTTATATGTAAACTGCACCAAATTGGACTATAGGATGGCACCAGAATCACTTGCCGACAAGAAGTTCTCACAGGTACGTACACGCCTAATGAGCTCATAGTGCTATACATTGGAGGAGAACAGCTTGTATCGTTGTGTGTGAGTTCGCTTGTATTGTAGTCCTGGGTAAAGAGCCTTCTTACAAGCATGCACATAACTCATTCGCACATATATTATATTATGGAGAGTGAATGGCTTGTCCAGTTGTGTATATGCATACGTTTGAAATGTCGTGCTGGGTAAGTCGAGATCTTCAAATACGTATTTATAATTGCATCTAGGCGTGTCATGTATATATTCAACTCTTCGTATATACACGCATGTATTGAGTATGCGTACGCAGGGCGTACGGTTATCGGGCCACCTATTGTGCACATGTAGTTGTGCCATTTCACACCATGCTCAACATATACGAACGAAGTGAGAGTATGTATGCAGAAGTATTGTATGATTATCTGTGAGTCGACCATGCGTTGGGTGAGTCGACCATGCGTTGGTTCATGTGTATGATACTCACACACGAACATATGAATGCATATATATGCTTAAGTCTCCAATCTGTATATACACATACAGAATATACTGAACTTATACATACGAAAGTGTACCTACCCTACTAACACTACGCATGCACTCCAATATACTACTCGTGTAGTTCAACATACAACTCATGTACTCCAACAGATTACTCGTGTATTTCAACAAGCTACCCATGTACTCCAATAGGCTGCTCATGTACTCTAACAGGCCACTCATGTACTCCAACGGGCTACTCATGTACTCCAACAGGCTACTCCTGTTCTCAACAAATAACTCATGTTCTCAACAAATTGTCCACGTACTCCAACAGGCCAGCGACGTTTGGTCATACGGCGTCACCATCTGGGGTATGTCTGTGTGCCACTTTAATTGTCTAAGTATGTATCTGAATTCATCAAGAATATATATACCTTCCTACAAAGTTGAAGTATAACATCCGTGCACTATATTTTTTGGGAGGCAAATACTAATTTCGCACATTATTATGCTACAGTCTTTCTTGGCTTTCTACTGCTACGCTGCTCGGTTAGGGTTTAGGGTTAGGGTTTACTATCCATAGACTCTTAGACTAGACTATCCGTTTAGGGTTTTAGTATTAGGGTTTAATATCCCTAAACTCTTAGACTAAACTATCCGTATAGGGTTTTAGGATTAGGGTTTTATATACCTAAACCCTTAGACTAGACTTTCCGTCATATATCTGATAACTAGTTACTACCTCGTGTTATATGCATGATATATAACGTTTAATATTCAACCAAATCGCATCAACTAATCCGCCAACATACTGCCACAACTCATTGCGCAGAGGTGTTCTCGGACTGCAAAGCAATGCCCTATTCGGGGATGAACTACTTCGGCTTGCTCGTTCAACTGAAGAAAGGGGTTAGGTTAGACAGGCCGGACTCCTGCCCTACGGTACGTTGTATAATTCGATATATATATATATATTTATGTATGTATATATATATATGTGTGTGTGTGTGTGTGTGTGTGTGTGTGTGTGTG